AGAGAGAGAGAGAGAGAGAGAGAGAGAGAGAGAGAGAGAGAACCTTTCTATAGAAAAGGCTTTCCCACTGGTCTAATAAAGCAATCTAAAAATAATGAAAGCGTCAATTCTGTAGGTCCTGCAATGGCAAATGCACAGGGAGCTAATGGAAAAAACTACTATGTAAGAAGGAATACACTCGGGAATGCACACTCGAGCGCGCGCGCGCGCACACACACAGAAACAGAAATTCAGAAATAGTAAGAAATTTGAAAAGAATTTTATAACAGAGAGAAGAGGGCTGTGGAAACAATGCTTAAATAAAAGATGGGATATTTTGACTATTTAATATATTAAAAGTAAACATTTGGTGCTAAAGAGTTATTCATGCCATCACACAAACCATCTTATCAATATGGGCTTTAAATTCAAAAGCAGAGGGAGAATGAAACTGCTGTTAAGGCGACTGGCTGCGGAACAATAAGAATGAAGAGGTGAGTTTATTTTGTTTGTTTGGTTTGGGTTTTGTTTTTTGTTTTGTTTTTCAAGACAGGGTTTCTCTGTGTAACAGTCCTGGCTGTCCTAGAACTAACTTTGTAGACCAGGCTGGCCTTGAATTCACAGGGCTCTCTGCCTGCCTCTGCCTCCCAAGTGCTAAGACTAAAGGCCTGTGCCACCACTGCCTGGCAATTTTGTTTCTATTTTTGTTTTTGTTCTTTAAGTTGATTCCTGGGAACAGGCTGAGGAGATGGCTCAGCAGTTAAGAGCAAATTCAGTACCCAGCGTCCAAGTCGGGTGACTGGTAAGTGCCTGTAAGTCCAGCTCCAGACAAGCCAACACTTCTAGCCTCAGAGGCATTGTGCGCACATGCACAAATTTACATAAAGTAACCTCGAGTAATCTAAAATAAATCTTAAAACAAAAAAGAGTTGCTTCCTAGAGGATGGGGGCTCAGTGGCAGAACGTGTGTTTGGTATGCACAAAGTGCACAGTTCAATCCCAGCAGTCAGAAAAACATGATTTCTGCTTAGAAAACTCACATTTGGGGTGTTACTACTCACTGGCCTTAATACTGTTTAGACTCAATAATATTTCTACGTATTTCTCACTTTCACTTTAAATGGTGAATAATATACAGCTACGGTAACTACTACTAGTTAGAGGAAGAGTAAGCTAAATTCTGACAAATTTATCTAATAGGCTAACTGTAAGCCTCTGACTTTAAAATGTTTATGTATTTTTGAGACAGTGTCTCATGAAGCCCAGACTGACCTTGAACACACCAGGTAGCTTGAACCTCTGATCCTCCTGCCTCTACTTGCCAAGTCCTAAGATTATAGGAATATGTCACCATGCCCAGCTTTCTTCTAATGTTGATCTTTATATTTATTTGCTTCTGTTTGTTTGTGACCAGGTTTCTCTGTGTAGCCCTGGCTCGGGTTAAAGGTGTACACCACCATGCCCGTTTTATCTTCTAATCTTTAAAGACTCCTAATCCCCGGTGTGGTGGTGCAACTCTGTAATACCAAAACTTGTGAGGTTGCAGGAGGATTGGGAGTTCAAGGCCAACCTGCACTACATGAGACCCAGCCTTAAAACACAAAACAAACAAAACAAGAAACCCCTACAACAAAGAAGACAATAATAAAGAGTCCCCATTGGTTTTTCAGAGGCAGGCTGGGGCACCTTTAAAGGGCAGCCTTTTTGCACATGCCTTCGTTTGTCTACCTAAATAAACAGAACCAACTGGGATACATTAAACCCTTCGAGCCACTGCGTTCAAATGGTACAATATGAATGAGTACAAAGAGGGGTCCCAAAGCTAAGTACTCCCTTTGAAAGGACACAATGAATGATTTTTTTTCTTTGACTTTCTTTTTAACTTTTTCTCTTTTGTTTATTTTGAAAAGAAGTCTTAAACCTGGCTCTGTACACACATACATGCATACATCCATACACACATACAATTTATTTTTATTTTATGTTCTTTGGTGTTTTGTCTGCTTACAGATTTTGGCTTAAAAATATTAAAATTAATCGGGTGTGGTAGTTCATGCTCTTCATCCCTGCACTGGGGAGACAGAGGCAGGCAGATTTCTGAGTTTGAGGCCAGGACAGCCAAGGCTACACAAAGAGACAGTGACAACAAATAAATAAATAAATAAATAAATAAATAAATAAATAAATAGTATAGGGGGAATGCCCAGCCTTTTTAAAGAAAGGTATTTCAAGCCAGGAGTGGTAGTACACACCTTCAATCACAGCACTCTGGAGGCAGAGGCTGATAGATCTCTTGAGTTAAATGCCAGCCTGGTCTACAAAACAAAAGCCATATTTCAAAACCAGGCATGGTGTCCATGCTTGTTATGATCACAGTATTTTGTAGGCTGAAACCAGAAAAGCTGCCATTAGTTCAAGAGAGGTGAGTGTTACATCAAGAGTACCAGGCCATACCACTTAGCATAGTAAACGGGAAGGGAGCGCAGAGAGAACACTGGAAAAACAGTATCATGCTAAAATGTGTTCAGTGAAAAATATGAGGCCTTCCATTTTCAGGCCAGATACTTAATATGCTGTATCTAAGTGCCTATAAGATCTTTATTATTTAATTAAATTTATTTATTTATTTATTTATTTATTTAGTGTGTGTGTGTGTGTGTGTGTGTGTGTGTGTGTGTGCGCGCGCGCGCGCGCGCGCGCGCGCGCGCGCGCGCGCGCGCGCGCGCGCGCGCGCGCGCGCGCGCGCGCGCGCGCGCGCGCGCGCGCGCGCGCGCGCGCGCGCGCGCGCGCGCGCGCGCGCGCGCGTGTGTGTGTGTGTGTGCGCGCGCGCGCGCGCGCGCGCGCGCGCGTGCACACACACACACACATACCAGGATAATCTTTGAGGGTCAGTTCTCTCCTTCCATCATGTGGATCCCAGAGATGTAACTAATCATAGCCTTTACCTGATAAGCCATCTCATTGGCCTTATAAACGATTTATTTTTAAGTTTTGTTCAGATTAACTGGGTGTAGTAGCTCACACCTGTAATCCCAGCACTCAGCGGAGACTGAGGTAGGAAAATTGCTAAGAGTTCCAGACCAGCCTGGACCACACAGTTCCTCACCAGCCAGGGCTCTGAGGCCCCCATCTCAAAGAAAAAGTACTTGAACAGCAAGATGTGGGATACATGATTGCGATCCAAATGCTTGGAAGGCTGAGGCAGGAGGAGGACCAGAGCACAGCCTGGGCTACACACGAGAACTGGTTCTGTCTTTAAAAGGAAAACAAGTTTTCTAAAATTTGATTATTTTAGCCAATGAAAATGCAACATGGTCACCTAGCTGTGTAGTACGATTATTTGTTTAAACAAAGGATTGTATACACAGAATTACCTGGCTATAGTAACCAGGTAATACTGTCAAGACGGTTTAACAATGTTAGAAAACTTGGTCATGCTCTTAATTCTGTAAATGAAGATCCTTCTTCTTCTTCTTCTTCTTCTTCTTCTTCTTCTTCTTCTTCTTTTTTTTTTTTGTTTTTTTTTTTTTTTTTTTTTTTTTTTTTTTTTTTTTTTTTTTTTTTTTTGGTTTTCAAGACAGGGTGACAGGGTTTCTCTGTACTGCTTTGGAGGCTGTCCTGGAACTCGATCTATAGACCAGGCTGGCCTTGAACTCGTAGAGATCCGCCTGCCTCTGCCTCCTGAGAGCTGGGATTAAAGGCGTGAGCCACCAATGCCAGGCTGAAGATCTTTCTTTTAATAACTTCA